TTTCCCTTGTGTTGGAGCTAATGATTGTGTAACCCAGGGCTGACCTGGATCACATAGCTAAGCCATTGATAAAGCTAAGGCATCATCTCTCTCCCCAGGCCACTTGCATTCTTTTATTGGATTAGTCATTTGAGACATCGTGTAACAACATCTTTGCTAGATCTGGAGTAAGAGGGACAACCATGTAGACCTACATGCTCTGGCAGCACTCTGCAGGATTGGAAATAACATTTCCACGCACATGAGCTACCCAGGGTTTGCTTTTTCAAATCTTTAAGCAAAGTCCTGTAGTTTATTAATCCCATCTTCAAGGAGGGAAAAAGAAAATATTTCTAGTTATATTATCTGCTTTTACATCTTTTTATGAAAGCAGCATCATGAGTATGTTTTTTTTTTCCTTTTCCATTAGAGATGGTTTCTTAGATTTCTTGTAATAAAAGTAATGCAAAGGGAGTTGTTTTACTAGTTCAAAGCTCTCTCTTCATTAAGGTGCTATGAAGGACACATCATGCATCCTATTAGAGTATTTAATATGGTGGACACATGAATATTGTTTTACCTTCTAGTAAGTGGTGCACTAAATGTTATTTTGTAGCTTGCTGATAGTAGAAAGATGAAATATTTATTGCATGGATAATTTTATTTGCCCAAGATTTCTGAGGTACAAGTGCTGAGCAATTGTAAAAGAAAGTGTTTGCTCTGTTTAAGTATAATTCATCACCAAAGTGAAAGAGATACTTTAATAGCTGCAGTGATAAAGGCATTACAGTCACAGGATATAAAAAATTAACCTGCTGGGTCTTACAATCTGGGTGAGTATTCAAGTTGGACTTAATGGGTTCTTCTGACTGACTGTGAATTTCAGATCCCAGTTATCAGGAAGTGCTTACCACTGCTTCAGGTGCTGTATTCAGCAGTGTTGAACTGATGCTTCTTTGTGTTTCATCCACATGCAGCATTACTGTACACAGTTAAATTGCTGCTGCTACAGCAATGTTCTTTTGGTAATTTTTAAGACTGGAGCAGGCTCTGCCATGAAACAGATGTCATTGTAGTAAACAGTGTGCAAATTGAGAGCAAAAAAAAGGGTTCCTGCCCTGAAGAATTCTTTGTGTGGATTAGCAGCTTCAGACACAGCTGATGTTTCACTTCTGGCTGTTGCATGCAGCACTCAAGAGCTGATGTTTGGGTGTTTTGAAAAGAGGTGGAAAGGGGAAGATGGTACATCGTTAACAGGTATCGTTGCTTTTGGCTTCTGATTGCATGTGCTGGCAGTCACAGGGCCTGCCTTCCTAGGGAGACTAAGGAGTTGAGTGAAAAGAAGTCTGGATTGCAGTCTGCAAGAGAGGAACCCCCAAACTTCTGCCTTCTGGCCACAATGCAGGCTGCATTTGGAGTTGGAGACACATACACATCATCATGGAGTACACAAGTACTTCCTGTGTGGAGGGAGATTGAGTGTATGTAACCCATCCTTAGTTGATACTTCTCACAATCTCAAAACACTCTTACTGGAATGATGTGAAAATAGTTTGTTTGACCCAAACCTAAGTGCTTTCAGGTTCAGGATATTTTTTTCCTGAATGTATATAACTCTTCCACCTCATAGTAATTTCATGTTTGCATGAGTATCATAATGTCTCAGTACAATTTTTTATTTCCTCGTAACTTCTCAGCACCCGTTTAAGTTGCTATTACTACACTGTGTTTTATGGCTTGAAATTATTTTTTCCTGTTGAGAACTCTACATTGTCCCTGTTTTCTTGGCTTCTAGCACAATACACTAGCACAAATTTTGCTAGCACAAATGTCCCTTGTTAAGTGTGTTTATATCGTCTTGTGTTGTCTAATCTCATATTTCAAAATAAGGACTGAAGTCTGATTCACTTTTATAAACTCTTAGCCACTGTGAACACCGGAGCCTGTTTAAGGCTTTGGGCAATGACAAACAGCATTCATATAAGCTTTTCCCCACCTTTAAGAACAGGAATAGGTGTTGCACAGTTCTTTGCATCATTTTTAATCCAGGCCCTCTTTGCTTGTTTGGAAGCTAGTCCTTATTACTGGAAAGTGACTCCTGACAGAAGGTCTTTAAATGCATGAGCAAGATTGAACAGAATTTGTACATCTGGGTCTAAAAAAAGCTCAAGAATTTATTTTTATGTATTCCATCCCTCTGGGAACAGTGTGCTGGTGTATATTTATCCCAGGCATGTACTCTGCAGTAGGCTTCCTTGAGCATTGGGAGGTGGCTCCTAATGTTCCTTTTAATTAAAATACATTCTAGCCTTTTCTTGGACAGCTGTGATTCAGCCTTATTCTTTTTTTTTTTCCTTTTTTTTTTTTTTTAATGCATCTTGCTTTTTTTGGTTGTCCAAACCAATACTAGGTATTCACATAATTAAAATCAGAAACCAGGAGAAATTTCTGCATATGTATTTCTAGCCCAGTGGGCCTTGCTCACCCCAGCGTCCCATAAGGGTGGCAGCAGGAGCTGTGAGGTGCTGGATTAGGCGCTGAGTGTGATGGATCAGCTAGTGAGCATGGAGCTGGAGGAGTTCATGGTGTGCAGCCTGGGATGCAGCAGGTCCAGAGTGGTGAGCTGGGAGTCGTTACAGGTTACCATCACTTAGTGGCGCATCTCTCCACAAGACTCTTCTCTTCAAGAGGGATGTACACAAGAGGTTGCTCTCCAGTCCCAAATTCCTCACCCTTCTGTTCACTGTAGGATGAATCATCGAACCTTCCACAAAAGTAAATCTGTTCCAGCTCACATAGATTACAATACAAGAAGTGTAGAGTATGGAAAGGTGTTTGGAGAAAATTTGGGAGTTTTTTGTTACTTAAGATGCTTTCAAAGCCATGAAAACTAGTAACTTTTTTACTTGGATTTGCTAAACTAAGTCTTGCAAACTTCAGTAGAAGCTGAACAGATTTAAAATGTCATTTTAAAACAAATAATTAATTTCTTCCTAGACTAAAGCATGTGGGTTGGGTTTTTTTTTCTCTGTGTTTAGGGAGAATTCTTTGATTGTCCTAAAATAAGATAAAATTTCCCCACCATGTAGTTATTTGAAGATTAATTATATTACTAATAATTAAAAGCTTCATTTAAAGACATTTCAAAAATAACCCCAAGCAATATAGAAGTATAGTTTTGTACTTCCACATAGGTATGTATGAGCTGTCATATAGTGCTGACATCTGCTTATAGTCTGTCCAGGTTTTAAAGGAAATTCCACTACAGGACAAATATGATCCATATGCATTAACAGAGGAGTGTTAATGATTATACCATACTTTTCCCACTGGATTGGTTCACTAATTATAAATATTTTTCCTTTTATTTTTCTTTTTATTTTTAATAGCAAAAATTTGCATACTGAATCTAGTCTGGAGGGCAGTCTTGTCTGGTAATGTATGCTTTTTATTGATGTAAAATAATCTGAAGATCATACATGCTCTGGAACTTAATTATGCTTTCAGATGCTGGTGCTGTGAATTTCAGTATTTATTTTCCAGTTTGGTCATTTTAGAAATAACATCTAAGACTGTTTCCCACATCACAACTGAAGAGTTGTCATGTTTATTTAAAGCTGCATCTGGCTTCCAGTAAGTCCCAAAGTTCAGTTTTTCACAGCTGTGCATGGATTCCTGTCATGCCTGCAGAGCATAGAAAAATTTTTGCTAAGCCTAAATTTGTTTAAATAAGTGTTTTTTGTAGGAGAAGGGATTAAATTTTTTTCAGATTATACCCTCACAGATTATACCCTCACAGATTATACCCTTACAGATTATTTATTCCTTAGATGACAACATACAGATCTTCTGGCACAGTGTCACTGCTGGCACGACTGCATGTAGAAAAGGATTTTCAGTGGTGTTTTTGGGGCCAGGTTGGAGATGATAAGGTCAATCAGCAAAAGCAGTCAGTGCCAAGCTCTTGGCCATCCCACTGTTATTCCATGGGAGCCAGGAAGGTGTGGAATACTGCCTCTTCCTGGAAGCCCCCAGAGACAGACACTACTGCCCTTGGCCTTCAGGCCAGCACACTGTAGTCACGTGTCAGAGGTGTAATCTGAGAGTTACAACATTACAAATATTTAAAGGAACAGGAATCTAGTGAGGTGATAAAAGCTGTATTTTTTCTGATTTGGTTTAGTTATATGAATAAAATAAGTATGTAATAATTAAGACAAAGAAGTTGCTCTGTGGGTAATTGAGTTCAGTAATATGAAAGTCTTAAGATATATATTGGTATATCTTGGATTTGCTTTGTGTAGGTCTGTTTTGGATGATACTTTCCTTTTGTAGGATGTGTGTGCCTTAATTAGGTATTTGGAGAGGGAAGATTGTCAGTTCTGTAACTCTGCTTTTCTTCTACCTTTTACAACACTGCTTAAGCGTAAGGTCTACCTGGGCATCTGTGACTTTGAGTTAAGCTTTTAGATTCTCTATTAATTAATAATTAGTTTTGGAGTATCTCTGGTATAAAAGCAAAAACTTATATTGACAAGATTTTGTGTATTAAGATATGCTTTTGACATTTCAGCAGGATTAGGAAAAGGGATATTTCACATAGTCCAGTTCTTAACAAGGTTATTTTTTCTTGTATTTATGAAGGCTTAAACTGATCTGACCAGTTTTCTTACGTTTTCAGTTACTCTTCTACTGGTATAATGATTACTTATTCTCTGAAGGACACCATCTGATTTTTAAGGTTACGAAATAGGATGTTTTAGTAACTTTTGCATGCTCAAGTCTGAAAAAAGTATTAAGTTTTATTTTTTACATAGGATCCACTGGTCTGTGATTTTTCTTACATTAAAAACCTTCTGTTTTATTCCTTTTCATTCACACACATGTATATGCACGCCTGTAAATACACTGAGAATAAGCCTTATATAAATCCTTCTTGTTATTAAGTCACTTGTTAAAGTTCAGTAGTTGAGTCTACATGGTCCTCACAGTTCAACTGTTTCATTTTGTTCTTTACACAGGAGCCCTTACCAAAGTAAAGGAGAGTAAGCGGCACGTGGAAGAGGGGAAGATGGAGCTCCAAAAAGCTGAGGGCATTCAAGAACGTTGTAACATTATTTCTTTTGCAACCCTTGCAGAAATTAATCATTTCCACAAAATTCGTGTGAGGGACTTTAAATCACAGATGCAGCATTTCTTGCAACAGCAAATACTCTTTTTTCAAAAAGTGACACAAAAGCTAGAAGAAGCTCTTCACAAGTATGACAGTGTTTAGTCTCTGATTTGTGGACTTTACTCAGCATGAATGTTACCGAGGTGGCAGAGCAAATGCTGCTGAAGAGCTGTTGCCAGTGGTAGATGGCGGTACAAGGATGGGTTTGTGTTCACCTGGAACCCGGGTTTAATCTCCGAATATGTAGAAAGGAAACAGTTATAGGGCTATGTAGTAGAAACAGTACCATGCATTGTAACTAAGTTATACTGTGTATGCCTACACCATTGTAACTTTTTTGAGATAATGAGTATACTATTTGCCTTATTGCTTTTTGAAATACGGTATCTTAGTGCATACTTCATAGACCTCAAAGCCCTTTGGGTATTTAAAGAAGTTGGGTAGATAAAAGCCTGCTTCGATGCCTTTTTACTTTCCTAGATTTGGATTTCCTAAACTCAAACAATTCTGTTTACAGACTCCTACTAGAGCAGCTATGTGATTCTGTGCCTTTAGACTCTATTTTTCTTTTTCTAGTATGTCACATTTTTATGATTAAATGAATGAAGGGTTAATGCCTATGATGGGAACTGATGATGAAACCTCACATTGACTGGAAAAAAATCAGCTGCCATCCAGTTTGCATAGCAAGTACTTTCTTATGACAAATGTTGGCTCAAAAGGGAAAAGTTAAATTTATTCACACTTTCCCTGTAAATGGAGACTATGTGTTATATGTACTAGGATGTTAAACACATGTACAAAAAATCACCACTTAATTCCCTTTCTGAAATAAATAATACAGTGAGGGGTGGTTTTTGGGATTTTTTTTGTATACAGCATTACTGTAAGTGGAAATTTGAAGAGCTAGTCTAATAAAAATTGCGTATATCAAGGGGATATTAATGCAACCTATGTGGCTGCAACATATTTTTTAAGTTTGAAATTATTTGCTCTTTGTTCAGTTGCTGATTCAGTTTAACTTCAGACTTGCATCTGCATTGCCAGTTGTCTGAGATGAAACTCCACTGTGATTCATTAGTTTACTAAGTTAAAAGTTTTTGGGGATTTTCAGTAGTATAAATGATCTGAAGTCTTGGCTGAACTGACTTGGAAAACAGGTGGTATTTTTATGTTTGTAATGCTCAAGAATTAACAATTGTCTTAATTTTGTATAAATATTTTTGACAAGCAGGGTGCATTTATATATATGTAAACACTATCTTTTGAAGAGGTTATTTCCCTTTAATTAAGTCTGAAGGTATTTCTTACTTATTGGTTTCCTTCTTATAGGTCAGTATGAAAGACAGTTTTTGTTTATCCTATCTTTTTTCTCCTAAAAAAAATAACAAAGCTTTGTGAGGAAGCAAAATGTTTAATTTTTTGTTTAATTAAATTAATCAAAAAAAGCTTAAACAAGTGAAAGCCTGGAAAAGGAAGTTGAGCACCAGTTTCAGTTAAGTACAAATCATTCCTCACCTATGCAGCAGAAATGTGCAGTTCTTCCACATGATCATGTGAGTTTCTGTTTAACCCCACACCTCTGTTTTAGAGGAATAACATGTAAGAATGTAGTTTTGGTTCTAAGACTCATCCCCAAATGTTTGGAGATGGCTGTTTTGCACAAGCTGTGTATGGTGGGGCTTCTAGTACATAACTAAAGCAGTAAAATACAGAATCATGAAGAGGGGAAGGCAAGTAATAATTTGTAAAAGAAAGGACAATCAGTGAGGAAAGACTCCATTTCCAGCCTTTTGAAACAATTTTGCAAACAAAATTGACCATAAAAGAAGGACCACAGTCATAGGGCTGACTTGCTCTTTACCTTCCTCATTGTGTCTCATTCTACATTCAAAACTCACCACTTCCCCAACAGCTCTTCCCAGAACTTCTCCTGCTTTCCCATATGTCATTTAATTATGTGACAGAGGGATGAGCTAGGTTGGAGCTGAGTTCCGTGGCTAATGTTTGCTTAAGCCAGATACTGTTTTAGTAAATGTCTTTACAGCAATTAGATCAGACTGCAATCAAACTGATTTCACATGGAGGTATTAAGACCTGTTCAGATATTGATCTTGGTTCAGTTGAAGTATTTTAGGAGGTTAGTATTAATGACATGTTCATGTCTGGGAGGAAATTAAGCTGTGATATGTATTCATACAACATTAATCAGACAGGTACAGTTTTCCCTAATAAACTGTCATGGCCTTCACCTTGCTTTCTCATTTGTGAATTTATTTGGGGACAGGAAGAGTGGGTGTAGTAATTGGTTAAATTGGATGCACCAGAAAATCTTGACTGGAATGCTGGTTTAAATTGTTGCACAGAACAGAAAGGTTCAAGTCTACATCTCTGTTAGAATTTTCCTATTTTCCTCAGTTGAGTTACATACGGTTGAGTTTCCATACAGTTGAACTGGCTGATGGGTGGAGCACAAGGAGTTACAGTAAAGGGTGTTGCATCAAGCTGGTGACTGGTCCACAGAGCTCAGTCAGTTCTACAGAGCTCCATCTTAGGCCCTGTCCACTTCACTGTCTTCATAAATCACTTGGACACTCAAAGAGGTAAGTTTGATGATGAGACTAAGTTGGGAGTGACTGTGAACTCCCTTAAAGGCAGAGAAGCTCCACAGATGCCACAAATCTGAGGGATGGGCAATCATCAACCATATGAAGTTCCACAAGGGCTGGTGCCAAATTCTGCACCAGGATGGGGCAGCCCTGGCTGTACAGACAGACTGGGGAATGAGAGGCTGGAGAGCAGTGCCATGGAAAGGGCCCTGGGGTTCTGGGGTTCAAGTTGAACATGAGCCAGCAGTGCCCTGGCAGCCAGGAGGGCCAAGCATGTCCTGGGGGCATCAGGGACAGCATCACCAGCTGGGCAAGGGAGGGGATTGTCCTGCTCTGCTCTGCTCTGCTCTGCTCTGCTCTGCTCTGCTCTGCTCTGCTCTGCTCTGCTCTGCTCTGGGGCAGCCTCACCTCGAGTGCTGGGGGCAGTTGTGGGTGCCACAGTATAATGAACTTACTAACTTTTAGCATCCAAAGGAGGGTAAAAAAGATGGTGAAGGAGCTTGAGGGGAAGCCATATAAAGAGCAGCTGAGGTCGCTTGGTCTGTTCAGCATGGAGAAATGGAGATTGAGGGGAGACTTTGCTGTGTTCTTCAACATCCTCATGAGGGGAAGGGGAGAGGCAGGCACTGATCTCATCTCTGTGTGACAGGACTCAAGGGAATGGTCTGAGGTTGTGTCAGGGAAGGTTTGGGTTGGATATTAGGAAAAAGTTCTTCACCCAGAGGGTGTTTGGGCACTGGAACAGGCTCCTGAGGGAAGTGGTCCAAGCACCAAGCCTGAGAGAGTTCAAGAGGAGTTTGGATAACACTCTTGGGCATATGGTGTGACTTGGGGATTCCTGTTAGCAGCCAGTTTCCTCAGGGTCAGTAGTTGGACTTGATAATCCTGACAAGTGTCTTCCAGGTCAGCATATTCTAGTAGTTTATGATGTTGTGAGCCTGAACTCCATTAGTGCTCACTGCACTATACAAGAGCTACAGTATTAATTGTATTTGGACCAGGTATGACACTGACCACTTATGATTGACTGACTAATGAGTGGTGTGGTCTGGGATCTGAGTATACTCTACAGCAATGTGAATGTGAATTGCGTGGGACTATGGAAGCACCAAAGGAAATAAAACAATTTAAATAAATAAATAAAAGTGAAAGAAAGCAAATTTACTCTGTATCAAAACCACTTTTGTTTCATGTAATTAATGTAATTTGTTTTCTATGCATCGCAGTTTTTGTGTTGATAAGTAGGAAGAATCTAGTATGCTTGTTGGGGTTTGATATCTGCAAGAAGATCCACTGAGGTATTGGTTTTTGTTAAAGTGTTGAGTCCTGTGAAAACTGGAATGAACCCATCAGAGTAATATATCCACAAAGAACCACCAGCAAGCGGAGTGTGAATAATATTTCTATTCAAAATGTAGGGTTTATAGGTAGAAATTAGCGGCATACTAAAATTACTAGATGTTTGATTCCTATCCCTTTTCTTTTGTGATACTTGCAGAAGAGTTACCCCTATGATTTGTGCATGTTCTCTACATTCTTGCTACCTTCTTTCAAGGTCCAATTGCATGGTATAATTCATTTATGTGTTGTAAGACCCAGCTTAAAGGGGTCATAAAACATGCAAGACAAGCACCAGCAGAACCTGGGAAAAAAAAAGCAAGAATATGTTGCAAATAAAATTGGCTTGGTTTTAAAACCTTTAATCAGCTGCCTGCACTGAAAATACCGACATTACTTGGTGTGAGGCACAGGTATCTTTTTGATGAATTACAAGATCTGGTTGGCAGTGCCTGATTGTTTTGCCAGACCTTCATCATCCCAGCTAGCCTCTTCCATGCTGGTTGTCTGCTGCAACCTGAATTCTTCTGGGAAGCTTCAGTGAGAATTTTTCAACTATTTCTTAAAAGGAGTTAATAAAATTAAAAAGGGGAGTTTTTCTTTTTAAATTCAGTAAACAATTTGACTGGAAATCTTTAGATCTCTCATACTTCGGAGAAAGAACTTGACATTTGACAGACTCATTACCTTTTTCAACCTTAGATGTGCTTTCTGCACAGCCTGTGAAAATTTGTCCATCTATTTGTCTATCTATTTCCAAGAAACTAAAGTTTCTCTGAGCTCTGCTGTGCTCAAGATATATTTTCTGTAACTCCCCTTTGCTTCAGGTAATTTTGATTCTAACTTTAGTCAGCTAGCTGCTGCTAAATGAGGCTTTGTCTGCAATTCTTTTTCCCCTTCATTCAGAGGGGGCTGAATCTCTCAGACCACAAGCCGAGCAAAAAAAAGCTGCCGATGGGTGCTGCCAGCTCTTTAGGCTTTGCCATGGGAGAAGAGGAGCAGCAGCCTGGAACACAAGTTTGATGTTGTGCCTGGCAGCTACAACAAGGTGGATGTGGAGATAGTTGAAGAGAAACAGGAAGGTAAGAAAATGGTGAGGAAAGAAAGCCCTGTGACTACAAAAGCCTGTTCCTACAGTGCCTAATTAATACCTTGGGCTTCCTAAGCATCCAAGGCCTTTTGCTGTTTGTAAATAGCCATCATGAGCAGGCAGAAAATGGGTAACTTTAGTTCTGCTGGTGGTGAGGACAGCAACATCTCGTTTTCATCATTGTAAGTTTCTTTGTTTGATGGTCTTGTGGGCAGTTGAAAACTGTTGAAGAGCTGTAGATTTCAGAGCTGAATGAGATGCCATAATTCAGGCTCAGTCAGGCAGCACAGTGAGTGTCGATGTGGCTTCATGTGTTCTGTCATGTGCTTTTTTCTTGGGAAGAGGACATGAATTTAGGAGATTGTGCACATAAAAACCTCTTGTATTAAGGAATACTATGATTAATAATTCAGTAAAAAAATGGAAAAATTAGAAAATATTTCAGAATTAAAGTTGCCTGTGGTAACTAGTATATCAAGACACCTCATGAGACGTGTTCAAACAACTTTTTGCACTGCTTCCCTGCCTGATTAAGTGCACATATATAAAGCATTGTCCTAATCAGCTTAAGGTCTTTCAGGGAGATTGTTGTCTGGCTAATCTTTATTTCTTTTGCAGCATCAGTTGTACTCTGCACAGTGAGAAAGACCAGCAGAGTGAAGATCAGGTACGGGTGGCTGTCAGCCTGCAGAATAGTGTCCAGAGAACTCGGCTCTGTCCCTGTGTCTATCCAGGCTCTATGCAATATAAGCCATGCGAGATAAATCATTCATATGCTCTCCATTTTGTGTAGGCTTGCTTTTAAACTCAGGATTTACGCTGAATAAAATGCTGGGAATTCACAATTTTTACTGAAGGTTATGCACATTCTGCTTTGGATAAAGGAAATGCTTCAAAAATGCAAAGTTGTCTG